TAGTAGGCCGATAAATCAACCCCTTACCCGTGATGATAATGATTGGCTGCTTAGGGGTTAATATCATCTATTCATCAAAACATGCAAAAATCTGCAGACAATCTTGCTGCACACATCGGTGTACATTTTAAACACTTACTGGTAGGGCCTATTTCTAGCTGCTGTGGAGATACCGTCGGTCGAAAGGTTCTTTTGGTGGCATGTACATTATATTTACGGAGCATATCCTGTGTCTGTGACTAGTACATCCACTTGGAATAGCACAATCTTCTGTTCTGTGGCTTTTTTTTTAATTTCGGGATTGATACGGTCATTACCAATTACCCATATGTGTCTAAAATGTATGCGGCGTTGTTCCGACAAGATTTGCATCCAACAGTATTGCACATTTTAATGAACAGATAGATGGGGGGGGCTGATTTATATGTTTAGCTTGGTACATGTTATGACATGTTTTTGATCTTGCCTTATACAATGATATTCCACAGAACTCTGAATTGGACACCATTTTTGTTAATGAATAAATGGTAAAATCGCGTCACAAAATGGACTTATCGTAATTATGGATAGGATCTCTCATATCTATCATTATATTGGAAATCTAAGGTTTATTACATTTCGTTAAGATTAAAAAAAAAAGGTTTTTACGATCGGCATGATTTAAAACAACGTTTCAACATATGAACTTTGAGCTTTTAGCCGACAACGTTTTCAAACTTGAATTTGGTTTTAGATAAAATAGAAGAAAAACATAACGTCGGTACTACCTTTTCTAACTGTTGATATAGATGGTAGATGCCACTCGGAACCTAGTGAAGATAAGGAAAAATATGTAGGTATATAATTGGTACTAATTGGCGTACCTGATACTTTTATAAGCATGCTTTGTCAATGGCAAATTAGCTTCATGTCTGGAAGCCAAACTGATGTTCCTACAAGTCTACCAACTCGTCATCAATGAAATCGTGTGACGATGATATTTTTCTAAGCATACCAACTTGTTTTATGTACGTTTGTTGATTCTGTAATCTCGATTATGATGATAATAATCATAGCCATTTAAAAGTCATTGTTGTTTACCTAACCTAATTTACAAGTACTTTGATTTGAGATTCGTCGTAAGCATTGAAATCTGTGACTGACCGAGGTCAGTTTATAAACAATTAACTTTTAATTATCCCAGATTTATCGCGGTAGTTCTCTCTCACTTCCTTTCTGACGCCTTTTACAACCATGATCGCCGTTGTTATTGTTATTGTTATTATTATTGTTTTTATTCTTGCAGCTGAGTCATATCCTCGAGCATCACTTTTTGGATGAACAAGTCGAATCCATTAAGAAAATCAGTGATTACATCACTCAGCTTGAACGTGTAGGCGACGGACTTGGCGAATACTTGTTTGACAAATCTCTGTAATTTGAAAGAGAAAGACTGTTTAAAAAAGCTCAGCTTTTCCCAAATTTAAAGTATATCTACCCCAAGGAAATATTTATGTTTAATATTGTAGTATCTTCCTTTCATAGTTTGTTTAATTTCGAAAAGCAGTAGTTCTCCCAAAAGACAGTATTGTGTGAATTATATATTGTATCTTATTTAGATTTGCTAAAAATTTTTACTCAATCATGAATTAAAACAAGCAATAGAAATGATACACAAATTTCTTTTTAGTCATGATCTTGTTTACCAGTGTGCGCAAACAAAATGAAATAATTCATCCTACTAACAAAATGTATAAATCAATGAGAAATACGGTATTAGGAAAGAAAATAGTTACGAATCTATGATAAATGCGATAAATAAGAAAGTACAGATGAATCAATGAGAAATACGAAATTAAGAAAGAAAATAAATTATGAATCTATGAAAAATGCTATAAAAATAAAGTAAAATTTGTTTTGTACATAGAATACATGATATAAGTTGAATACATGTCAAATGCAGCTCGAAAATAAAAGATTAGTTGATATACAATAACATTATTCTTCAATGGAACTTTTTTACTTTTTAATGTATCCTTTACAGTCCTTTTCTCCCCCTTACGTTTTACTATGTGACTTACAGTCCGTCTCCCCCCTTACGTTTTACTTATACTATACCCATAACAGTCCGTCTCTCCCCCTTACATTTTACTATGTTCTTTACATACATCTCTTACAATTACTTTGTATTATGTCCCTTACAGTTCGCCCTCCCATTTACCTTTTGACTTTATCCGTTTCAGTCCACCTAACATTTTAGGTACATCAATGGTAGATGTAGCTCTAAAAGAAAAGGATAGCTGATGTACAACATAAAATTATTAACCAAATAAACTCATTTTACTTTTCCTATGTCCCATTACAGTCCGCCCTACCCCTTACGTTTGACTGACCTTTACAATCTCCTCTTTTTATTATTGTCCTTTACCGTCCGTTCTTCACCCATAGTTTTATACTTTGTCCTTCGTAACCCGTCCCTTCCATTACTTTTATTTTACTACGTTCCTTACAGTCGGCCCAACCCCTTAAATTGTATTATTCCCAAATAGTCCGCCACTCCACAAAACGTTTAACGAATTCCTTTTTACTATATCCCTAACATTCCACCATTCCAACATTTTTGATATGTCCTCTACAGTCGCCTTCTCTAAACGCTTGCGCTGGCTTCATTCCTGTAAGAAGCACATAGAAACAGGATGTTCGAAACAGGTTGTGTGTGTGTGTGTGTGTGTGCATGTGTCTGTGTGTGTGTGAGAGAGAGAGAGAAATTAGACAGTTGCAATTCGTTCAAGTGGTTAATTATCGAACATTCAAGTGCAATATAATGTGTTCACACTCAAATAAAACATCAGTATTTCCTAGCGCACTAACGCAGTGTAATATTTGAAATTAAAATATAAAACATCAGTATTTACTAATGCATCATCTAGCTAAAGTTTTGATATGTTAATTCTATCTACACCATGGTAGATAGAGCAGATATCGAAGCACTTTGTCCTAGCGACATCGATTGAATTTCTTGAGTTGTCCCCTTTATTATGTAATGCCAACTGACCAATAGCGCATTGTACAGCGGCCGAAACTTGTGGAGGCAATTGACTTCAAAAGAATACTTTGTTAAAATTAACATCGAAAGAATGGATACGTACCAGAGATAAGCCATTACAGGTGTATTTACTTATTTATAAGTCCATTCAAGTTATGTGCTTCCCTTGTCTTGATTGTGTAAGTACAGAGTTCAAATTTGAACAACTAAATTTTTATTACATGCTTCATCCAATCAAATTCACAGGCCAAAACCCACATAAATATTTGCTCGATCCGTCAAAATGTAGCAAAGACGGTAGCGCAATAACGCAGTGTAATATTTTCACACTCAAATAAATCAATAACATTTACCAGCGCACTGACGCAGTATAATAATTTCATATTAAAATAAAAAATAAAATGACACGAATGCTCTAAAATTTAAAAAATGGTGTATTCAGGGGTCTCTTGGGATTTGACTGAACCCCTTTTCCAAAACAAGTATTATTCTCTTCAGCATTAAGTGATATGTGGTCAATTGAAAGAAAATAAACAAATCCACTTTTAATTGGATCCCAACCCATTAGAAACATATAATATATCTATTTTTAGACATTATAAATAATGGCTTAATTCAATATTTTCAATTTCAGAGATGTGCTATAAGTATCACATGAAAGCATTAATATTGATATCTAATAACAATGCATATTCGTTTCTAAGTTTGGATGGTATAAGTGTGCGGTCAAAGCAGGTTGTGTTGAATAATACAATTCAACAGAATAAAAGTCATAATTTCTTGATCATAAAACATCTGAAAAGATGTTCTCTTACGTTTTAGAAACGATGCAGTGCAGATATACTAATTAAATCAATATGTTATATATATATATATATATATATATATATATATATATATATATATATATATATATATATATATGAAGTTGAAAGTATATATTAATTTTATCGAAACATATTATTATGAAAGACTTAAACAGTTTATAAAAGTCATTACTTTCAGGATTGATGTAAGAGATACAATTAAACTAGATTTAAAAAAAATGAAATAAACAAATTGAGAAAGAAAAGAAATAAAATCTCATTGCACATAAACATCTAAGAATTTTACTTTCAGAGGTATCCCTAAACCATTTTGTCTTCTTATAATTTTGATTGACAAAATAATCTTGGTCTCGCGATCGTTTCGGCTGGCCCCAATGCTCATAACGCGCGGGGCCTACTGAAAACATGGCATTTGGAAGAAAAAAACTTTTAAACAAGAGATATATGATATAAAATTTCAAAGTTTGTTCCATTACTTTAAAATTACTTTCTCTCTATAAATGTATTTTTATAAATTACTAACGCGCGGGAAAATCGGTAAATATAAATTAAAAACACATGTTAATGCCATTATGGTCTTAAACTTTGTAACAGAAAGAAAACAAAACCAACACGCGTAGTAAAATAAGCAAATGATTAAATTCCCTAGAATACCAAGTGAAAATTTAAAAAGACACTTACAGTATTGTGATTAAAATCCCAAATAATTCCAACTGTTCTATGACAAGTCCAAAAGTACAGAATGTTCTAAGCCAATACCAATAGTCTAGGATGCCCAAATGTACCAAAATGATATAATCACGAATATCTTTGCATGATTTATCACTAATCCCAACGCAGTTCTGTAGTCTATACATCAATGAAGCCATTGTCATTCCAATGAATAATATAAGTGTCAATTCACTCTATGGCAATGACTATGGTAACCAGGTGCACTTGCCAAGGCCCCTCCAAATCCAAAATATCGTTGTTCATTTTATAGCAATCGGTGTGTGTGTGTGTGTGTGTGCGCTTAATTACAAAATTAACAAAACTGAAAATCAGCCTGGGAATCCCTCTAAATCTCTATAATTTCGTTTCGCACTTAGCGATACATCTGGGCGTGTGTTAAAAAAATCTATATAAACATACACATAACAATTACCACCGCTCCGATGGCCTAGTGGTCAAAGCGTTCGCCTTAGATGATGGAGGTAGTGGGTTCGATCCCCGGTCGAGTCATACCAACAACTTACAAAAATGGTAATAACAGCTGCCTCGCTTGACGCTCAGCATTAAGAGGCTAATGTTAGGACTGATTGGCCTGGTGTCAGGATAATGTGACTGGGTGGGACATCGTGCTATATGTCTGCAGCATGATGCCCTAGTGCTAGACATCACTATAAACTGCCACAATATAGACATCGTAGCGATATGACTGAAAGATTGTTAAAGCTACCTTAAAAATCATATCACATCACATCACATTTTATAGTGGGCTTTACTCATACTTTAATCGTGGCTCAAGCTCAAGTAGAAGGGTACAACTTTGTTAAGGGTCAAAATTAAGTACTTACTTTGAAACCAGAGTGGAAAATGTAAAGCTTGTAGCATTTTCACCCTCGAGGACGCCAAGCATTAGATTTCGGGAATATCCAAAACTGTCCACGACAGTCAGAAATCTTAACGGCAATGAAAGCGAAGGAGTGCACATCAGTGGAATTGATTGGATTCGAATTACGAGAAGAAACAAGTACATAATCTACACACACCTCCAACACTCCAATCCTAGATAAAGCAACAGTAGACATTAAGGGAGTAGTTACTACAGTAGAGAAGACTCCATTGATAGTTAGAGACGTATAGGAAAAAGTCACTTTTATTTGTGTCTGGTCTCCTCTCTATAATATGAAAGCCAAGAAATTGCTAATTGAAATAGGGAGGAAATTGAAATAGAGAGGAAATTGAATAGAAGAGGGAAATCAAAAGAGATGACCACGGTATGGGGATTTAAAAATATCAACTATTGAGTAAGAATAATATTAGTGCCCAAGGAAGAGATAAAGAGATTCCAGTCACATTTTTATGTGATGGACTTTCTATTGAAAACCTGGTGAAAAGGATATGAGAATTTAAGAACCTGTACTTAATGTAGACATAAGAGACTGCCCAAAACAGCCAGCAGAACCTACTTATGCATCGAATTCTGACAATCTAAACAACCTCGAAAATGAAGAAATACAAACAGCAATTGCAAAATAAGGAAAGAGTGAAATGATGAATAATGGGGCAAATAAAAAGAATCCAAACAATGACAGCAACGAAAAGAAAGATGGCAAAGACATTACAAAGCAAAACATAGATGAAACAGAATTGTCTGAGGAAAATTCAATCAAAACTATGAATTGGGAAAAGTTTCTTAAGTCTGAATAAAACGGAAAGAATGCTAACCCTTATAAGGGAAGATGACAATGTAGTGGAGAAAAACAGATATTTTGTTTTGTCAGATGGGGGAAGGGTTACCATCAGTCCTGTGGACCAAGAAGTAGTATGTGAAGAAAGAGGCACGGTAGATCTCCTTGTAATTAAACCATGAACATCGACCCTGGTGCCAAAACTGTGGACAAAGAAGAGAAAAATTACTCAGTCCCTGTCAGTGTCCTCGTCCTCGTCAGGCGGTGACACAATGCAGGAGGAAACAAAAGCAATTTTACCAACAGAGGAAAAATCAAACATGAAATTTAAAAAAAGAAGAAAAGAGTAAAACGGACGAACAGAACATTGAACAAGACAATGAATCGGACAATAAGACGGATAATGAGATAGACGAACAAACAGAAAGCGGACATAAAGACGAGACTACAGAAGAGAACAGAGGAAACAACACAGACAACGAAATTACAGAGACAGACGACAAAATAAGGGAAATAAAACGAAACTTCCAGCATGGGAGACGATGGGGGGAGGAGATGAGGAAGGGGCTGGACCCCTCCAATATCTAGAAACAATTGTACATATAAATAAGACAAGTAACCTTAAAATTGTAAAACATTAAAAAGAGAATGGATGCGGCAACCTTGAGAAGAACAAAAACTTCGATAATTTCAAATGGGATAAAAAAGGAAAAAATTATGAGATTTAGTAAAGAAAACAAATACAACATTATGTAGTATATGTATTTTTTCTAAAGAATTTCACTAACAAAAGAAAAATTAAATGCAGTAGTGATTTTAAATAATTATAAACAAGAGGATAGTAAGCGGGTGTGTAGCAACAATTATAAAAAATAAGCAAGATATTATTTTGGAAAAATTAGAGTGAATTTTTTTATGGGAGACTTTTGCATATAATAGCAGAAAAATATTCATATAATAAATGTTTATTTTCCAGCAAATAAATATATAAACATGAATTTTTATAGAAAATCTATAAACAAAATATTAGAGACAATACTCAATGGAAGATGTAAATATGGGAGATATTAACTAGGTTGATAGAATAGGTAAATTAACATCAAATAAAATAATGTTCAAGCCAGAAAATGTTAAATCTAATAAACAAACACAAGCTATATATCTACAGAAGAATGAATATATTAAGAACGGAGTATACTTATGAATATAAAAATGGTTTAGCCATTAGATTAAATAAGTTTTATGGGACAAATTATGAGAAGGGGGGGGCAGAAATCACAAATTTTAGATCACAAGTTGATAGAAGTAGAAATAGTCACAAACAATAGATTAACGTGAGGAAAAGGAAAATGGAAAATCAATAACACAACTTGGAGGATAAATAATTTGTAGAGGAGATAAAAGGCATAATAATCAATATTAACCAATTTTGGAATAAGGACATAATATTGAAATGGAATGCTTTAAAAGCCACATTTATAAAAGGCAATAGAATTTTCTAAAAGAAAAATGAAATTATTGAAAAGAGAAAAGAAGAAATAAAAAACTAGAAAGAGGAGACTGAAGAAATTGAGAAAAACTAAGATAGACTAAGCATAATTACGGAAGAGGAAAATAAAGGAAGAGAAATTACAGCGGGAAAGTTTACAGGAATATATAAGAAAGCACAATATTTATACATAAAAGAAGAACTAAGAAAGGGGGAGGGACACATTGAGAAATTAAAGAATAAAAATAATGAATTATTGACAGATAAACAGGAAATAATAGAGAGAATAAAGGAGAACTACACTGAATTATATACAGCACAAAACGTAAATCCAAGAATAATAAAAACCTATTTAGGAAAAGTAAAATGTGAAAAAATATCATCAAAACATAAAGACTTATGAGATGAATTCATCTCTATGGAAGAAATAGTCAGCCCTATAAATCAACTTGCGTAAGTGAAATCACCAGGGATAGATGGACACACTACCGAGTTCTATTTTTAAAAAATCCAAAGTGAGTTATCGCCGATCCTTGAATTGAGAAACAACAAAATGACAAAAACCTCGAGGGAGGGATTAATTTCAGTAATTTACAAAGGAAAGTGGGACAGGGAAGATCTATTTTAAAAAATGTAGGCCCATCTCCCTCCTAAATATTGATTATACAATATTAAGTAGAATTTTAGCAAATAGAGCGAAGAAAGGAATAGATAGAAGAATTAATATAAATCAAACATGTGGGGCAAAGTGAAGGGAAATTGAAAGTAATATATTAAACATAAAAACATAATAGAATATGTACAAGAATCTGGACAAAACGGCGCTATGGTACCCCTTGATCAAGAGAAAGCTTTTGATAGAGTGGAATACAACTATAGGCCTATACAGAAGGTATCAAATACGTTTGATTTTGGGAAATATTTCCGGAAATGGACCGAAATGCTGTATAAAAACATAATTGCAAGAGTACATGTAAATGGCGCCACATCTGAGCAATTTGAAATACAAAGGTCAGTGAGGCAAGGGTTCCCACTGTCGTCAGTGCTATTATACGTCATAGCAATTGAAATTCTAAGTATCAAAATAAGAAGGGGCCCCGAGTGGCCGAGTGGTCTTAAGCGCTGTCCGTTACGGATCACTGCCATCTCACCTCTGTCTGCGTGGGTTCGAGTCTAGGATTCGGCAAATGTGGATATGTGAGAAAGCTTGCCAGTAGCTTCTCGTGGGTCGGTGGTTCTTTCCGGTGATTTCCCGGTTTCTTCCTCCACCATTAATACTGGCCGCCATGAATAGCCTATCATGTGCTGAAAAATGGCGTTAAACCCAACAACAACAACAACAACAACAACAAAATAAGAACTAAGAAAAAATTGAGGAATAAAACTCTCTAATTTAAAAGAAAATTTAAAATGCTCCAGAACGCAGATGATTGCACAAACTTCATAAGAGACCCAAGTTCATTTAAACACTTAGAAAGAAAAGGGAATGAATTATTTGGAAAAACGTCGGGGTCAAAGATAAAACATAACAAAACAGAAAAATTTAAAAATAGGAAAATGGAGTGGAAACCACCATAGGCTCCCTTCACCAACTGAAAGACAGTTAAAACATTAGGATTTCTTTGGACAAAATGACGAAGACAAAAACTATAAACATATGGGGAAAAAATAAAAGATAATATTGAAATATGGGCACTAACGCCACTGTGCGTAATTGTGCAGGCTCAAGTGGCAAAACATATTTTTATTCAAATATGAATTATATTTAAAATCCATTAATGTTGAAAATAATATTAAAATAAACTTGAAAAATTAGATAATAAAGTTATTTAAAAAATTTAAGGTTATAAAACCCACTATATAGTGACGAAAACGCTAGATAGAACAAATTATAGGGGCAATCTGGCATTACACACACACACACACACACACACACACACACACACACATATATATATATATATATATATATATATATATATATATATATATATATATATATATATATATATATATATATATATATATATATATATATATATATATATATATTTACCGAGGCTACGACAAAGACCTGATTGCGGAGGCAATCCAAAGGGCCAAACAAACAAACCGTGATGACCTATTCAGATATGGACAGAAAGAAAAGGTTGATAGGATATCATTTATTCTGACCTATCACTCAGACAATCCCAAAGTAGGTAAAATCATCGCAAACCACTGGCTAACCGTGCAATCGTCAGACATACTAAACCTAATACTTCTTAACAAACCTGTAGTAGCTTACCGGAGACCAACAAGCTAAAGGACATCCTAGTCAAGGCAAAGCTAACGCCAAT